AGTACGCGTAAAAACAAAGCGGGGGGTTCACGACTTTATATAAAAAACGAAGAGAAATTAAAAATATCGCTTTATAAGTAATTGTGGTTAGGCTTCACATGCTGATATTTTTAATTTCTCTTCGTTTTTTATATAAAGTCGTGAACCCCCCGCTTTGTTTTTACGCGTACTGTAATCGCGTGGAAGAATTTTGTACTTTTATAAAGCCAAATTCAAATTGCTCACGATTAAAAAATTGAAAATTTCAAATACCAATATCTTTCTCATTAGACTTCTGACTCGAGTGTTTCAAGTATAAAAACGTTCTGCTATGCGGTCCGCAACTTATCCTGGTATTATTTTAGGCGTAAAAACTAATAAAAAGATTCAGCAGCGCAAAAACTACATATATTCGAATGTGTCGGTAAAACAGACTTATGTTCCCCTGCGAACCAAACAACTTTTGTCTGAAACGTTTTTTTCTGTGATCAAAAGTAAAAAAGTTATTTGGGGTGGGACATTAAATTGGAACATCCTGTATATATATATACATATACATACATATATATTACGTGTACTGGAAGAAAATCCAATGTAATGTGCTACTGGATACTCTGGTAAACTTATACGTATGTGTATAATAGTGTTAGACATTATAGACTAGTACAAGTACGAATATATTTGGTATTTTTATAAAGAATATGGTAAAAACTTATTTTATATGTGTGCAATATATACATGTCATAATATCTTCGAGAAGAATAACATGTATTGCTAATATTGATGATATTGGACATAGTAAAAAATAACTATTACATTGCGCCTTTGCCGATTTCTTGATAAATAACAATATTAGGCGATTTTTGGCAATTGTTTAGTACATATTCATCAGTGTGTACCAGAGTATACGCTCGGCTGGCTTCACGAATGCTTTTACACCTGAAAATAGTCAAGTTCAATATATTCCGAGAGAAAAATTCTTTTATTAAAATTAATTTTCCTATTGGATATCTCTTTAGCATCTTTCTTCAGGTGTAAAGGCATTCGTGACGCTGAGTGTACACTCTGATACACTTTGGTATATGCACCAAACAGCCGCCAAAAGTCGCCTATTGTGATAAAACTTTCAATATACATAATGTAAATGAATTTTTAATCTACAACACGAATCTCACTTGTGTTTACTATGTTTGGCTCACTATCTGTAACACAAGTCTTACTTGACATAATTAACATTTCTGATATTTTAAGTTGCAGTAACCAGCACAAGTAGTATAATTCTCTATTACGTCTAACACAATTTGCTAAGAAAAATAGAATAGCTCACCTCAAAACCCATCCTTTCTTCTTCGATTTAGGTCTACTATACACCTTTAGCTTCCCCATTGTCTTTCTTCTTAATTATATGGCACCTATCTTCGTATAAAAAAAAGAACCAGTCTCAATCAAATAAAAAAGGAGCACGCAACAGTAACTTGTAAACTATAGGGACTCTCCAGCTATATCTTAATATTCGACGTGTTTGTAATTTGTGAATCCGGATGTCGAGTAGGAAGAATAGTTCTCGGAAAGGAAGAGATTAGTTTCCCATTTCCCATTGTTATACATATGTGACAGACTCATGACACACAAAGATATTGGGGAGTGGTCAGGTGAACGGCGACGATTAGTTTTTAGAAAAACACCTGTATGACTAGATTCCCCCGAGTAGACGCATAGTATAACGTGATAAAAATCTGGGCACTGAACGTTGAACCGCCATATTCAGTCAAATACCGGAAACTTGCACACTTAGTTGCTTTAAAAATAGCAAGAATAATTACCCCAGGCTTACTCCATGCATTGTAGACGACGCATTACATTTGCCGTACGACAAATCTTTTAAGAATATTGATTGACTGCAGGATAGAAAAGTTCTCGAGTCTACAGAAAGTTTATTTATTCGCAGCCAATCGATATGCCTAAAGCTTGCCGTATGAATTCTTATTTTTTGTCATCCTATCTCAGAATGTAACACGCATACTTGAAAATACATGCATACATTGCATACAATGCAGTCATTTTTTGTTATGTCCAAGACAAATTATTGGTATAAGCATACATGTATTGGCAACACATCGGTTCTTTTCGATAATGTTAGGCCTGACTTTTTTTACAGCTAAAGTTTACTACGACATTACAGCAATTCCATACGTATAGCATAAAGTGATTCAACGATAAGGCAACAAATGATACTGAAATGAATTGATTAAGGACTAGCTTATATAAAAATCCATTTCGTGACATACATAGGATAGTTTATTGTGCGCTGCCAAAATGTTGGCATAATAAACTCACTGTACTAAAAACAATTCCGTGTTTATCATTCGATCCCCTTCAAATGCGACACGCATATAATTAGACATAGGAATTATTTAATCCTTCAACATTTTGGCAGCACGCAATAAACTGTCCTGTGTACGTCACGGAAACAGCTCTTTATCCAAGTTATTCCTTCAATTGATTTCAGTATCATTTGTTGCCTTATCATTGAATCGTTTCATGCTATATGTATGGAATTGCTGTAATGTCGTAATAAATAGAGCAAAGTCCTGCATTACAAGATAGGCTTCTAATATGAGACAGCGGGGCTTTCAACGCTCAAATTCAACGACAAATCTTTTTTCCGCAATGATTACACGATCTAACAATGAATTTTCCACCAAACAGACTTCGCTTCGAGGGCGATAAATTCATGGCGGAATCGACTGATGATGCCAAGTATAAGCGTAGTTAGAACCGCGCGTTAATTTAACGGAAACCCTGCTATCCCATATTAGGATCCTACCTCTTAATAAGGCTTTCCTCTACTAACCAGCAAATGCTACTGAAATATATCGATTTTTCTTTCTAGACTTTACAAACAGATAAGGTAATATTTTAGTAGATAACGGGAGAATTTCTCTCAAGTAAAATATATAGATAAATGAGCCAACCTTCGTACGCAGGCTTTCTTTTTGGATAATCTGCGAGCACTGAGAGGCAAGAACTTCGCAGTGTGTTTCCTTCCCATTTTTCGTTATAACACAGTTGTGTTCTGGTATTCGCTGCTAATACTGCAAATTAATCGCAATATAGCTTGTAATGTCTATTTACTGATGTTTACGTTCACATGCCATACACACAATACAATAGCAGAAACAAATGACCTTACATTACGAGAAACCTGAGAGCGGCCATCATTGCCATCGAGCTTCAAGGATGAATGCGCTCCCTGAGAAAGAAGATGTCAACTACGCCCGTTATGTTCGGTAGGTAATAGTGTATGCATGTATATGGTTCGTGTCCATGCTACTCATGTCCGGACATCCGGATGAAAAATGAATCGATACGAGAGTCAAATGCGATGAGAAACTAATCAGTCGCTTTGAATAATACGAAGTCGGAACGAATGACTATGTTCAATAGAAACAGCTGCTCTGCGCGACATTGTTGTAAAGTGGTTCGAGTCTCACTACTTTTAGCTCATATTTCCATCAAATTCCATTTTTCGCGCTACTTCATTGAAGATTAAACATTTCTAATTTTGTATCAAGAAAATGTAATACTATTTAAGAAGAATAAGAACTCCGGGATGCCTGGACAAAAATGTTAAACAATAATTGTACTATTTAATTCTTGTCAAATAGAAATAAAATTTTTATTACGAGAATTTTGTACACAACTTTGTATACACGTACTATTTAAAATGCACCATACAGTACAATACATACATATAAAAGCCATTTCCTACTACACAGAAGACACTTAAAAACAAAGGTATTAATGCGTATATCGCAATTTCACTCTTAGAATTAAGATGAAATCAATAACTCATATAATGATAAATTGATAATTTAAAAACGAAAAAGATCTTGCGTTCCGCTACTCATACGCTAAAGAATATATGTATATTGTAAAGTGGTTCGAGTCTCACTACTTTTAGCTCATATTTCCATCAAATTCCATTTTTTCGCGCTACTTCATTGAAGATTAAACATTTCTAATTTTGTATCAAGAAGATGTAATACTATTTAAGAAGAATAGGAACTCCGGGATGCCTGGACAAAAATGTTAAACAATAATTGTACTATTTAATTCTTGTCAAATAAAAATCAAATTTTTATTACGAGAATTTTGTACACAACTTTGTATACACGTACTATTTAAAATGCACCATACAATACAATATAAAAGCCATTTCCTACTACACAGAAGACTTAAAATAAACTAAGAGTACGCAAATTCATCTTTAAAACTTTATCACAATAGAAATGTACGCATATATTTTTCATTATTGTTGAGCTTACCATAACATAAACTTAAAATCAAAGGTATTAATGCGTATATCGCTCTAATTTCACTCTTATAGAATTAAAATGAAATCAATAACTCATATAATGATAAATTGATAATTTAAAAACGAAGAGGATCTTGCATTCCGCTACTCATACGCTAAAGAATATGTATATGTAGGTATCTTATTGATAAAAGTATAACTTGTGCAAACAAGACTTAAATTAAAATTTTCCAATAGAGTTTGAATTCAGTTCTTCGAGATTAGTCAATTTTTCGTATTATTCTTGAGTCGTAACTAAATAATCCCGAATCTCCTCATACATTTTTTCCCCCCGATACAATTCCATAGCAAATAATCGATTCTCTCGCGACTTTCCATTCCTGCCGCAATACTCGCAGCTACGGGGCAGCTGTATTATTAACGTCTGGCGTTTTCGTCCCTATTGGATGCGACCAAACATTGCCTTCATAGAGACATGCATCACATTTGAAAAAGAATTGCGTGAGTAAACCGTGGCGACGACAAGTGACAAATTTCCAGTGCTTGAATTGACAATTGACCCCACGCGCATGATTGGTGAACGTCATTCGGAATTCACGCATAAAATGAGATACATTCACAATGAAATTATCTTTCGGCATAATTTCATAAATGTTACGTGCATGCTCAGAACTATTACCATTAATGAATTCCCTATCTTTAAAGTGTTCATTGCTCTGGTTACAAATGCCCTCTTCCTCGTAGTCTTCTGGTTTCTCTAAATCATCTTTATTATTGGAAACCAAGTCCTTCTTGCCTTCCCAATGCTCAATAGTTTTATTATGTGCACCTTTCTTGTTAAATATTTTTGTATCCTTCATGTCATCTGCAATTACAGAAATCAAATCTCCATTGTCCACGCAGTGCCCAATGGGTTCGAGTGCACCTTTCTCTTCGTTCGCCTCTATCTTTTCCTTGTGGTTATCCACTAGTTCTTCCTGCATTTGACAAAGAGAGTGCGTCGGTTCTGGGTTAATCTCAGAATTTGTTACATCAGACTGAGGTCCAACAGAGCTCGGAGTACTAGTGAATTCATTCTCAGTACCATGATCAACTAGTTTGTTCTTTGCTAAATATGCCTGCTTTCGCCTAAAAAAATATATAAATGTCTTTGAATGATAATGTAACAGTTAAAAAAAGAATATATATGCTATATGTATGTTAAATCATAGCTTTCTCAAAGTAAAAGCCACATGCAACAGTTGGTGTACTTAATGTTAAAATTTAATTATTAAAAACATTGTTACAATAATTCTAATAAATTACTATACATGAAACATTTCAGAATTATGCAAGATTTACTTTAAAACCAAATAAAATATATATTAAAAAGATTGTACTTTTGGAACTGTATGAAATTGCATGAAACAAACGATTTATCGCACAATTCTCGGGCAAAGTGCACGAACCTCTTTGCAGACTCTTTTTTGCGCGATACTCTCCTACCAGCCTGCGTGCGAGTCTTCTTTTTAGACTTTTTAGAGCTTTTTCCCATTTTTTTCTCCTCGCTATTTGCTAGATTTTCACGCGTACGTGTGCGAACTCTTGTAAATTAGTACACTACCGTAATATATAAGGAATTACGAAAAGCTCTTGTTATGTGATTATATTCACACGGTGATACGAAAAGAACTTGAGATCACGGACAGCGGCAAGAAATAACAATCACTGCAGACTGCAACTTGTTCCGTCTTGTCTCGGCTATCGTTGCATTCGCGCGACAGAAGAATATCGTGGGATATACAAGATTTCATTTGTCGTCGACGACAAATGTATCAAGCGTATTGATTGGCTGCAGAATAGAGAGTTCTAGAGCCTTCGGAAATTCCCTATCTTGCAGCGAATGCGATTGCAAGATTCATCGCACGACAAATGAAATCCCACGTTAGTCCACGTAGCACGAACGATAGAAAGAGAGCGGTGTGAGAAGAAAGGAAATATATCCGAAGGAGATCGCAGTCTTTTTCTTTGAACCGAGAAAGAGCGAAAGGGAAAAAATGAAAGTAGGAGGCTTTTAAAAATTTTGTTGCGCTTAATCAGAGAGAAATCTGAAAGCGGCCACGCCGGCCTTTTTCTTGATACCGTTTCAAGAAACAGTTTTGCGCGCCTTCACGCCCATTTTTACTTTTGGAACTATTTTGCTATGCATCTTCTGACACTGCCGATAAAGTCTCCACTTTGTGCGTGTTCATGCTACGTCTATTAAGGTGATGCTGGAGCAGGGTTGGGACATTAGACAAATTTTAGAGTTTTTTACGTTACACATAATATACATGTATATTACGTAAAATATGTGTATAAAACGTAATATACATGCTAAAACTATCTAACTTGGAAGAGTCCCGTTAGCAGTGTC